ATTTGGAGTTGAAACCTGGAAAGGCTGGAAAAAAAAAAAAAACAAACCCTACCTCATTGGTCAATCAAAAAGCCACTGCGCATTTGGGGGTGCAACAAAGTCAAAAAAGCAACCTTTTTTCCTAATAATAATTGGAAATAGAAACTCAGGGTACTTGCAACCAAGGAAATGCACACTCAATTTTTTGCCATAACAAAGGGTTTTGCTCTGCGGGACGCGTGTGCGGCATTGAATAGAGGTTCCATTAAGGGTCTCTTTTCGTAACACTGGCCTCAAAAGGCAATTGGTAAAAAAGAAAAGGTGGATGTGAAGCTGCCCTTTCCAACAAAAAGGAGAAAACAGTTGTAGCTTTCTTATCTCTTTTCCTTATGACAGTGGGAAGTGGGGACCGAGGGAAAGCACACAACTTTTGAGAAATGGACTTGCTATTGTTTTTACTGTTTCAAGTCTAGATTTTATGTCACGTTTAAGGCCATCATGTTGCTTGCCCCGCCCTCCAAGTTTTGGGTTTTATTTTTCATTTCCCTGGGAAGCAAATCTGACCCTTACTCCACCCACCAGTTTTACTAATGCCAATATTGCAAATAGTCAAGGTACCAAAAGATTAGTCTAATCCATCTTCCAAAATAATGGGTATGCCGATTTGAGGCCCTCAAGTCTCCATTTTCAAATCCACGCAATTTTGTCAAAATTTGTTAGTCCATGACAAAACGTTCTAAAAGAAATTGCTTCGGCTGGGGGGTTTAAATGCCACAAACCACATCCCACTGACATTTCGGGATGATAACTTGGAAGGGTTGAAAATTCTCAATCAAAAAACCACACGTCCATATTTTAAATGAAATATTAATTTTTTTTATTTTTTTAATATTTTACGTTAAATATTAATATTTATTAAATATATATTCTTAAGTTTAGTATATGAGTGTTTTTGTTTTTTTTTTTTGTTCTTTAAAAAATATCTTATGCCTCTCATAGATGTAAAACATTTTACATAATCAATTGAAATTTTTTCCCTTTATCCATAAAATGTTTTACATTTAAAATAAATTTTTTACCTTTCAAATAAATATAAGTTTTGAAAGTATTTTTGAAAAGTTATTTTACGTCAAATCAAATGGACTCTACATCCACTGGATTGTTATAAAAAAAAAATTGAGATCATGGGTGAAATTTACCCTTGTAATATACTAGTACTAGTCAACTATATATATATATATATATATATATATATATATATATACATACATACATATAATCAAACGAACTTCAGTACGAGGAAATTATACCTTTTCTTCAAATTCTGATAATTACATAATATTAAGAAAAAGTTCTCTTAGGATTTCATCTTCGACCTTAGGCATCAATTCAACAATATAACTACTTCGACCTTGGGCATCAATTCAATAATATAACTATCTATCCTTAAATCAACACTATGACTAGTGCCTACAGCAGACATTGATTATTGAATCCTACACCCCGCTGAGTCCTCTGTATGACGCACATTGCCATAGGCTGAAAGTTCAATAAGATCCATGTCACGACCTAAAGTTCAATGAAACAATTGAAAGTCTCCAATTAGCAAATCCAGTAGTCATCAGAAAACCATTTATCCTGCAAAACTATTAGCATTACCTGCAACCCGGCAATAAGAACTTCTCTGGATAAGATCAGCTCTAGACAACTCAGTCCGATTTCCCTTTGATCGATTAACGGTTGCCTAAAGTAATAGAGACAAAATCCCAAACATCAGTTTCCAAATTGTTAGGTAATTGTATTATTAAGAAACTTAGAAGGAAAAAAATTCAGAGTGATTTCAAACTATTCAATCATCAAACGGTATTGATCTTAATTGTTTATTTTTCCAAAGAAACAATTCATCGCAATACACCTTAATGCAACCAGCATTCTAATACAGATTTCCCTACATCTCTAATTCCAGAAATGAGGCTTAGATCCTCAGAAATGTGGATCAAAGAAGACTTAACCACAAAAGATTCAACAGCCAAATACGCACTAGCATGTTTCGCATATACAGCTGTCTCTTCTAAGAACTATCATTGTATAAAAGGCTTGGAAACTAGAAATCATGTTTAAGGCATGTTCTCTCAGCACATTGATTTGGAAATGCATTTAGTCAAAATGTCCATACACAATGTGTTTGCCGAATACAATTTGCCACTTCGAGAGGGCCAAACTGATCTGCAATGCGAGAAATCAGACAGCATTCATCATGTCTAAAACATCAGCAAGATAACACTTCTCTAGTTATATAGTTAAACCCTCCGTTTTAGGTCTAACAAAAATCAAGAAATGATCAACCACGTCAGACATCTTTCGAGCAACCTCAATGCAAACCAGCAGAAACTAAGCAGGCGTTTGGTGCCTTACCAGTCCTACATTCCAATGAAATGCAATTGCAGGGAAAGTAATTACTAGAAAGATAACATTACAACGTTTGGTATATGTGAAAAAGTGCATATTAAAATTTTGAAAAGATAACATTTCCGCATTTGATTTACAAACACTTTACTGAAAATGTGTTAATTTTCAAAATTACCCTTGTGTATGAAAATATTAAGTTTAATACACTTGCATGTTTTTTTATGTAAATTTTTAAGTTTTTAAATTTTATACCCTAAATCAATATATAATAACATGACAAGAATAACACAACATTTAAATATTAATTATTTAAATTTTAAAACATGTAAAGTTACTAAATGTATATTTTATTCTACTAAATTCCTATACAATTTTGCCTCTTTAAAAAGCTAAAAAAGGTTTTTTGGAACAATTAATCTCCTGATTGGACTTTTCTTCCTTATGAGAAAACGCATTACACTCTTTCTTCTTTCTGTTAAGCTTCCTCTTCCTCCTCTTCAGCCTTCTCTTCTTGGCAATTTCAAGTGCCTGTACCAGGCTCTCCAGGCAAGCCTTTGGATCTCCTCCCACTCTGCTATGGATCAAATGCTCAGAAACATTAGTTGGAATCATGTTTACTTCTCCCAACAACGCTCCAATCTTTTCAAACAAAGTATGTGAGTCAAGATCCAAATGATTCTTTACCAACACCCTCAACCCTCCAAAGGTGCAATAGGATAATTCAACGTGCATATCCATTTTTCCTTTTCGAATCATAGCTAGATCTAGTTTGTCAACATGATTGATTGTAAATACAATGATCCTTTCTTCCCCACAAGCAAACCAAATTCTATTAACAAAGTTAAAAACCCTGATAATGTAACCTTACTTTTACTTCTATGGATTTTCTCATCATCTTCTTCATCAAAAAGGTTGGTGAGATTTGAACTAAGAAGAGGCGGCAACAAATGGAGTGGCTTGACACATCAATAGCAACACGGGGGAAAGGGCCATAGTAACTGTCCCAAACAATTAGGAAAGTTACTTTCCCTCCTGTTACAATGGGAATGACATTCCCATTGGCTAAATTGCCTCACCAAACAAGGGAATGTCATTCCCACTTGTTATATTCCTAGGATTGTGGTGTTGAATCCTGATACCAGACACCACCTAAATTCAATGAAAGTGTTAAATAAAAAAAAAAAAAAAATGGAAGCAAGTACCTGTAGAACATACAAAAGAAGGCACATTAAGGGAAAAGGGGTGTAATATTGCTTTTTCATCTCTCAGATCTTTTTAGAATTAATAGGTGGTTGTGTTTGTATTTGAAAAGAAAGACTTGTGTTCAAGCCTTCTTGGAGAGTTGGACAAAAGCCTAAAATACAACACCACTTGGAATTTCCATCATAAGGAGAGCCATGTACAACAATTTTTGGGCAATTGCCTTGATTTGAAAAAATTTTGGATTTATTTTTATTTGTGTCCTTGTTGCTAAACAGATGTCCTCAATAATTTAAAAGATTGAACCCACTAATATAAAGCGATTGTTATCACATCATAGATAGAGAAAATATTGACCCACTAAACATTGGAGTCACTTTTTCATGGTACATAAAGGATGACCACTAAGCCTTGGGCTACACAATAAAAGCTGTCTCAATCCTATAATCCATACACTTCCCAAGGTTTAAACCTAAGATCTCTAAATTGGAAACCCCAAACTGATGTCCCATTGGTGGCCTGGAATCAATTTTTAAATAAAGAACAGATTGACCTTTCCAGCAACCCTATATTCCAACTCCTTTAAAGAACAATAGAATTTTTTTTGTTCCCACTAACTAATACTTTTGGGTTCACCACTGATTGCTCTCAGGCCAAAAAATGGCAATTTCAACCGTGCTATGACTACTCATGCCATGCAAGATTGAGGTAGGTTTCTTAAGGTAGGGGCAGGAAAGATATATTTTTAAAAACAATTCTATATAGTTATACTTTTGGTTTCACCACTGATTGCTATCAGGCCAAAAAATGGCAATTTCAACTGTGCTATGGCTACTCATGCCATGCAAATTTTCTTGAGGTAGGGGCAGGAAAGATATATTTTCAAAACAATTTTTCTCTATATTTAGTTCAAAATACCTGATCATCATTGCAATGGTTTATGAAGATAATTTTTTTCCTGGGGTGTTCATACAGGCTTCACTATGGCAAGCAAAACCAGGGCAGGCTAGACGTAAGCCAATGGGTCTTTGGCACCCAGTTTAAAGAAACGTAAAATAGTAGTCCCAAGATGTAGAGGTAGAATCCAAGAGACTCTTTGGCCGCAAATTATAATTTTCATGTGATTCATGTCAATGAAGCATATTTGAGAGGCAAGAAGCTGCTTTCCCGTTAATCCAGAGAATGAGTATAAACCAGAGCTCTTTTAATACATAAGTTATAACATTTTGAACAACCCTAGGTAGACAGAAATTAGCTGAAGCAACGAGACTGCTAAACTAAAATATCATACTTAACAATTTTAACCTTGATACTTGAAGCACATTCTTGCCATGCAAAAGTAAATAAAATTTCTATTTTGGCCAGTCGTATAAAATTTTGAAAACAGACTCACATTAAGAATCAAGGGAAAATAAACAAGATAAATGAAAATTTAATATGCCATAAGGGACAAACCTCATACCTGTAAGACCTGACAGTTTTCCAGTGTGCTTTTTCCTCCCTGAAATTCATGAAAAGAATTCGAATCAAGAATCAAGCAGCAGATCCAGCACAAAAAATATGAGGGATTTCGTGCATATTACAAGAACTTTGAAGACTTGAAACATAAGGAATTCAATAGAGGTGGGAAATTCAGGACAATCTTTGAGACTTTACTGTTTGAAAGAGAAAACGACAATTTATTAAGTATGCATATATTGAACTTTAGCCAAGCAAACAATAGAAATGAAGGTCATGACACAAAAGGAGGCTATATGTATGGCACAAAAAAGTTACAATTACTGGAAAAATGAAAGCAGCAAAAAGATCTCAATGTAGTGGGTTCTCTAGTGAATAGAGGCACATCACATCCAGTCTAGGTTTATGTTGAAATATTTTGGCTTCAAACACAACTTTGTCAATAGCTGGAAGCCGTCCTTTAATATTTGAAGGGGCTCACAGAATCATGTATTCAAACTTTTGGGCATATGGCCTAACAACTTAAGATTAGCCTCAATTTCCACTAGGGCTCAGAAGGTCCTCTGTACCTTTTTGTATGTGTCAATTTAGAATTTTAAAATTATAAATTGAATGAATCTGCCAGCTTAAGCAGGAAAATTTTCTCTATGCTAGCTCAGGCAGACATTTCACATGCTGCTATCCTCAAGTCCCATCAACTACCATGGCTTCTGCCTCATTATTACCAACTTTTGATCTTTGCTTAAATATGAGAAGCCTCATCTCTAATTGCTTTTCAAAAAAAAAAAATATGAGAAGCCTCTACACCAAGTTTGCACTTTTCCTTTTAAAATTTTATATTTTTGCTACTCATCAGCCAAATTCCTTCTACCAACTGATTCTTAACCCAAAAGAAACTGAATTTTTTTGCCTCCTGTGCTGCAATGATTGCAGTACAAGCTTCCAGCTTTGCATCAGGAAGAGCAATTCAGAATACAATATTCGGCCCCAAAAGAAAATTTTCTCTAGTTCTGTAAAGAAATACCATTCAAAAATGGAAAAAAGGTGGCAAGTGCTCAATTAGAATTTTATATTCACTCTCAGCACTAGAATAGTGATGGAATTCTTTGCTACTGAGTAATCGCATATGCCATTATAATCTCATCAGGGCTATATTTTCACATAAGAAATGCAGCAAAAGATCAACATCAATCTTCAATCTCTCTTCCTCTCTTCGCTGCTTAATATTTATGTTTCACTAGAGAAGATCAAGAAACCATTTTTTGAAATATATTCCACTTTATTGTAAGGTGCATGACCTAAAATCAGCCCACAAATAACATTCTGCTGGAGCATTATTGAACAATTAGTAGAGAATTGAATTTTTAGGGGAAATATAAGTTGTCTGAGAAGTTCAAACAATGCAATTAAAATACAGGCATAACACAAATTAAAGGTCCTCTAAGTTTCAAAGCTAATGCAAAATAGAATTGTCCATCATTATTAGGATTAGAAAAAAAAAAATAACAAGATTTACTAATTACAGCAATTCACTCAACAAAATCCCCAGAAAAAACCAAATAAACAATACCCACAAAACAAAATTTCGCAAATAATGACACAAACTTGATCAAAAACCATAAACCATAACTGTAGAAATGACACCAAAAAAGCCAATTCATAAAACTCCTCCAGCAACCAGGAAAAGTAAAACACAACTTTTCATAGGATAAAAAATTTGGGAAAGAAAAAACCACCTTGGAGTAAGGGATGATATGGTCATAGTCATGGCACAAGCAACCAGGGCAACCAACGAGCTTCCTGAAAACAATGTTACCAACAGCGTCTCGCCTCCAGCGATCTGGGTCTCGTCCCTTGACCTTCTCTGCCTTTTCCCAACATTGTTGTTTGACGCTGTAAGGAAAGCTCCTGGGGTTAGAGTTTACATCTTGTGAAATTTGGAGATCTTCAAAGAGACTAGTAATTGTGGAGCTTCGTTCTCGATCAGTCACCGGTTCACCGTCGAGCAAAGAGGCTGATGGTGGAGTAAGTCTTGATGAGCGTGAACGAGGTGGAGAAGAAGGGCGGGAGCTAGTTCGTCTGTTGCCCTTGGAGTCTTTGCCTTGTATTATCATTTTTCTGATTTTCTGGTTGTGGATTTGGTTGGTCTTCTTCCCAGTTAATTTCGGGTATTATATGTTGGCCAAATGTCATTTGCCACGCAAACAATTTCAATTTCTTAACTTAAATTTAGGTATAATATTTTTAAAAAATTAAATTATTTAAATAATTTTTTGACTACCCGATGAAAGGCCCATGGTCCGAATGCACAGGACCTCCCTTATTAAAAAAGACACGGTCCCAACGTAAGGTCCCGAGCAAGCAGTTTGTCGTCCTTTGGAATCTACTGGATGAGAATAATCCTAGCACATTAAACACCATGACTACACTGGATTCTGAGTTGTCCAATGATTTGGTACGTGATCCGGTAAGGTTAGCATCATTGGGAGCGGAGAAAGAAGATGGCTTGTAAATCCTCTGTTGTTTATCCTTTATTTAATTGTTAACGGATGGAATTAAGGCTGTTGGTTTGGAATTGTCAAGGTGCGGGCGATACAGGGTTTGATAGATTAACTAAGATTATTGGCAGCAGTACCAATTCTCTACCTTAGTTTTAACGGAGCTCAGAATTAGTGGCGTTCATGCTAATAGAGTTATAGGATCACTTGGGTTCGATAGATCATATAGAGTGGATGCAAATGATTTCTCAGGAGGAATTTGGCTTCTTTGGAAGGAAGATCGTGTATCTATACTTGGGCATCACGCTCAGTGTATACACCTCTTGGTAGACTTTCCAGTGGGAAACCAGTGGATATTGACAGCTGCATATGGTCATCCAAACCAAAGGATCAGAAAGAGTTTGTGGGAGGAACTCGTTATTTTTGCAAAATCTATCACAAAATCGTGGATGATGGCAAGAGATTTTGACTCTTTTTTAGTTTCCCATGAAAATGCTGGAGGCTTAAATAGAGGTAGTAAGCCATGTCTTATCCATCAAAAATTTGTAAATGAGTTTCTGTTGATTGATTTTGGGTTCAAAGGTGCGAAATTAACTTAGAGAAAAGGACTAGTATCTAAAAGAATCGACAAAGCAGTATGCAATAAGAAGTGGAGGTTAATGTTCCATGATGCTATTGTGAATCACATGCCAAGGATTAACTCTGACCATATGCCATTGTTAATTTCTTTATGTGATGGGCGATCTGAGCAACGAATTTCTGAGTTTTGATTTCAGGCAGCTTGGTCGACACACGAGATTTTGATGATTTTTTAAAACAGTCTTGGAACAATTTTGTTCATATTCAAACTGCTTTAAGGTGACTGTCTGAGAAAATTCGACAATGGAATAAAAATGCATTTGGGAATATATTCTACCAGAAGAAGAGACTATTGGCAAGATTAGGAGGGGTGGAAAGAGTAGAGGTTCGGCCTAATAGACACTTATGACACTTGGAATATAGATTGAAAAGTGGAATATGAGACTGTGCTACAACAGGAAGAAGTCTTTTGGATGCAGAAATCCAAAGTTGATTGGCTGAAATTAGGAGACCGTAATGCTCGATATTTCCACCTTAAAGTAACTCAGGGGAGGAATAAGTTAAAAATAGTACACCTTGGAAACCCAGATAGAGAATGGATTGATGATCACAATAGGTTAAAAGCACAAGCAGTGGCTTTCTTTCAACAATTGTATCCTAAAGAGAAGGAAATACTTCCTGCATACCCAATAAGTGGTGAATTTTTCAATCTTGCCTGATGCTGCTTATGAGCAAATGAGTTTATCTGTGGGAATAGGGAGAGGAAGAAGTAGAAGAGTTGACTGAGATGTGCAGGTGAGTAGAGAGTGAAAGACAAAAAGGAAGAAGATAAAATAGGTTATAAGGTGGGAATTTTTCCTTTTTACTTTCTCTCTGTGAGTTAAAAGGAACGACATTCTCTTAACTGATTGCAATGACATTACAATTATAAATACATTTTCTTTCCTTTATTATAAACCAAACGTCCATTTGAATTATAGAGAATGCACTGCAGTTTCACAATACCAGAGGCCCCCCAAGTTAATGCCAAAGCCAACAGTAAGAGATACAAAAAAATTTTTAAAAGAAAAAGCCCATTGATGTATAAAATAGAATTTTAAATAGAAAAAAGGACATAATATTTAAAATTAAAAAAACAAAACACTAAACTTATCCTATGATAAAACCTTAAACTTAAATTTAAATTCTAAAACTTAAAATATTTAAAAGTGAAGAATTTCTCTAAATTGCACCTAATATTGTGGAAAAAGTTTTTTAGAAATTTTTCAATACTTAAAAATAAAAAAAATAATTCAATGATCTAGTTTGATAAAATATATGATTAGATTATTATTAACATATACTAAGATATATATAGAAAATATAAATATTTTCCATAATTAAAAACAATTTAATTATAATGCTTGGTAGGCATTACACGTTTCTAAGTTGCTGTTTGGACAGAAGCTCGATAGGCACCATCTATGTTAATTGCAACCCAACTAAGGTCTCTTGTTTCTTAAGTAGATTCCCTCTTAGCACATTCGGTATGTTTATGGCAAGATTTAGTGCAGTAACCATACTCTTAACTATGTTGATATGGCTTTCAATAGGAATTAAAGGATTCTCAACTACTTCTAAATTCCTCCATTTCCATAAATACCAATAGCTTACTCCAAACACATTTTTCCAGAAAGCACCATAAACATATATCGACAACCCATCAAAAATAAGGTAAGGTTATAGACAAAAAAATTCCACTGAAGTGTGAAAATCTGATTTGATAAAAGAAATATCTTAAGCATAAATTGTATTAATATTCTTGGAGTGATGTTTTTTCTATACAGCTGAACAATGAAAGTTTGAAAAACTTCAATGCCGTTCATATATAAAATAATAATAATCTTAAATTTAATGCGATCCATTTATTTAAGTATTTAACAATATATATATATATATATATATATATTAATGTTGAATGTATGGTTGGTTTCTTTCTCCTTCTTTATAAATTTAATAAAGTGGATTAGAATATAATCATTATGGCAAATCTTATTGATCTTTTAAAATTTTGGTCAACTAGATTTGTTTAAATCATTTCATCAACTAACTTAAATTAACGCACACGATTATTTGAGTTATTAATTGATACATTATCCTTTTATCTGAAAAGTAGAATTCGAATCCCTCCTCCTCTAATTATATAAAAAAAAAAACTAATTAAATTAACAAATCTAAAAATCAATTTTTCACATCAAATGAATTTATACAATTATATTGTGTAATAATCTAGATTGAGGTAATTCATATGACTTTTGCATAAAGACATTAGCTACTTACTCTCAAAAGTATAGTATCATATATTTTACAGTTTATGTATTAACTGTCGATTTCGTCGAAAATTTTCAAGGACTTTTGTAAAACCTTTGACAAAAGTCAACCTTTTTAGTCCTCATTTCCCAACGTGCACGTCTAGAATTTTAATGGAAAAATGTTACTAAACAGCACCTTATCTTATCTTATAAGTCATTATTCCATTGGTCAATTTTATAACTTTTTAAAGGGTGTATTCAGAAAATTACTAAAGGGCTAATTCTTCTTACACCAAATAGATCACTTTAAAGAATACATCCTAAGTGACGACTATTTCAAATAATAACATTGGCCTTTGGGTTTAGAATATGAACTAAATACAAATAGTGATTTCGTACAATCAAATATGGTGTAATAATTAATTTTAGGATAAAATATTCTGATTCCTTTAAGTTTTAGTTATAATTCCGTACAAGTTTATTAGTATTTAAAATTAGTAGTCCGTTTCAAAAGAATATTTTTCGTTAAACACATAAATCCGTGATAATATTTCTCAAATAATTTTATTTGTTATTAATTTTAAAAATTACCACATTATATAAATTATAATTTTCACTTTTAAAATTTTTTTCTCTCATATTCAAAAAAATCTATTTACCCTACCTTTCGCCAACCGGCCATCCCACAGCCGGACTTGGCTAGGGAGCACCAAATCCCACCAAATCGCATTCCCCTACATCTGGGGAGTGCTGATGCTCCCCTAGGAGCATGTGATCGACGATCTCATGCTCCCCGGGGGAGCACTGATATCGTGCTCCCATGGGGAGATTTGGCTAAATTTGGTATTTCATGATCAAATTCGATTGCAGGGTGGTCGTTTAGTGTAAAAGAGTGCCACTGGTTGACCAAAGGGAAAGGAAAATTGTGAAAATGAATGTAGAAAGAAGAAAGCATTTTAGACTTAATATATTTGCTCGTTAACACTGTTTACATGCTTGAAATAAATGGTCTATTTCAAGTATTAATAAACCAGCATAAAGTTATAACTAAAACTCAGAAAAGTCAAAGTATTTTACCTTTAACTTCATTGGTTGGAACTTTCACTACAAGGAGCAAAAGTCATGGAAAGCTATGCTTCATTATTCCTTAGAGTATGTCATTGGAATTCAAAAGCTAAATCCAAAGAGTAATTAACCTGTGCTTAAGTACACTTAAAATTGATTGCTTGGTGTTCATATTTCACAATTGAATTGTTTTGTTCACATTAGTCTCCATGAAGTAAATATAACCTCTTGTTGAAATTTATATATCTTATCTTCTTAGAAATTTCCATGAATTTGTTATAAAATATTCTGCTCATTTTCCAGTCTCAAAAACTAGGAAAGTGCTATGAAGTTGCACTTTCAGGGTAACAAGAATTACAAAGTAATTTAATATAATCAACGTCAACGGGTGGAAAATTCTTGTATTGATTTTCGCTGTCTTTTCCTCAAGATTTCTTTACTTAAGCAAACTCTCCCACAATATATGGTGTGCGATCCACACGACAAACTCCACTATTCCTCTCTGCCAATTTTATTGAATAAGCAGCTAAATATATCCACCAGCAAAATCATGGATACATACTTAACGACAATTTGCACTTCTTCTCCTCCAACAATAGAGCAAGTTTGGTCTAGTGGCTGTTACTTTTTCGGTGGAGAGTCAAGATTAAAGATGCAAATCTCTTCATTTCCTTCAATGCCGCTCAATGGTACCACCAAAAGGAAAACTGAGACTGCATCATCAACAGAGCTGTTTTTGC